GACGTCCGGGCAGGTAGCGACCGAAGGAGGCCACGATGCCCAAGAGGCGACTGCTGCTGCTCTCGTCACCTAATTCGGCTGAGAGGGCATTGATGCGCTTGATAATGCCGTCTGCAACAGCTGACGTGGACTTGCAGCCTCGAGGCCATGTCAGATAGGCTAGGTGTCGGATGAGGTAGCAGAACACAAAACACTAGTTTGGCAGGGCTTTCTTGTGAGGTTGATTTAGTCTGTGGTTATTCATAAAAAATAACTACTACCATATTTTCAGTAGGTGGAATTTCCACCTATCCGAACCCTTCATTACTTTAAACAATGGGAGCAGTTCTAACATTGTTAACGGTTTATAGGCATCGATTTTATTCTTTCTGAAAGGTTTTGGCATACATTTTTAGTTCAGTAAAACAGTGACGGGCGGCTTTAATTTATTCCCTATTGTGCACTTATCACGCATTACCTATGCCTTAATCAGGCATCAAACTTTTAAGCACGATTTCCGTGATAAACTAGGATGGGGGAACTTTTGCAATTAGGCGGCTTCACAAGAAAGCCTTACCTTTATTATTTAAAACAGAACACTTTTACTTGATGATAGTGGTTATGAGGAAGACGTCAGTACTATTCTCCGTATTAGCTCATCGGAAGCGGATGCGATGTTTTGAATAGTCCCATCTGGAGAAGAGATACCAACTAAGACTTTTTAGAGTTGCGAAAATTTCCATCGGAGAATTCAGAAGATGAGTTTGGCGAGTGTACGTTTACTTTTTAATAGGAGGGTTTAGCAGATACTAACAATTAAATTGACCCAATTATGAAAAATTCGTGGCCTCGATGGGATTCGAACCCACATCCGCTGGGAAGGCTTTGGGTCAATTGAATGATTCAAGTCTGTCGAACCCCTCCTAGTAAGTAAGCGTACCTGGTAGTCATTCTGGTGGATTCTAGGTGATCGCTTAGGAAATTCTGTGTGGACAGTCAGCTTACTGTATCCGTACTTAGTGGATTCCCTACGTGCAGTAGGCTGGGCAGGTAAATCGACCCAAATGTGTTTAGATTCATGGCTCTCGGCGTGCCTTCGTAGCTCAATTGGCAGAGCATTGGCTGCACTAAAGCCTTCCCTGCTGACGTAGGTTCAAACTCCACCGAGGCAGGCCACAAATTTTTCACAATTGGGTCAATCTAGTTATTCCAATCTTCCAAACCGTATAGGCGAATTTTTATGTGTGAATAAGTGCAG